AGAAGTACATAAAGCCCATTTCTGAGAAGTACATAAAAAGTAGACTAAAAGTATACTTTCCTATTTTTAGTTTAAAATAAGTATACTAATAGCACACTTGAATAAACTTCTTTTTCGTAAGGGTAGTCTGACTCATTGTCAAATGATTTGGTTCCATAAAGCAAATTTAACATAGGCCTGGATCAAGCTCTGACTCTCTCACATACTATTATCTGACTTTCTTTTTTTTACAGTTTCTAGCCATGCAGCCTTTCTCTCTGGTTTTATTACAGCTGTACCTTTTATAGTTAGCAGAAAAGATAGCAGAACATTAGAACAAAATTGCTCTGTAAAGCATTAAAATAACTAAATTAAAAGTTAAAATCACTGAATTAAAAATGAAAATAAATAAAGACAATGACTACATTTTAACTGCTATAAGAAACACACATAAACTCATTTGAGCTTAGTAATTAGTAGGACTGGGTTTTGACACAAATTTCACGATTCGATTCGATTCTCATTCACAAGCTTGCGATTCGATTACCAATTCGATTCGATTCGATTCAATATCGATTATTTTGGATATATATCAGGTACAGTACATGCCAAATTTTCTCAAGGAAAAAAATCTCTCAACTAATGCTGTAAAATAGTCAGTTGGTACTACTTTACTATAATATTGAAGGTTAAAATTGACTGATTTGTTGAAATTACACTTAATGAAGTTTTTAAAATAATAATGTTACAATTACATAATATTTCTACTTAAATTCTTTTTTTTATTAAATATAAACATAATGGTGGCTGTCATAAAAAATATGTTTACTATGAATATTTAATATTCAAAATTAAACCTGGAAGAACAGTAAAAATGTATAATGAATATGTTATATAGTGTATATATTTAGCAAAATGCCCCTCTCTACAGTTTATTTTTCTATCTGACTAATGAGTTTATGGTCACCAAATATGTTTTTCTGAGGTAAATGTGACATTACGTGACACATTGTTTACAAGCCGTTATATTGATGTCTTTGCGCAGCTGAAACATTGATTGAGTGATTACATGAGATTACATTGAGGATGTTTAGTCATGTTTATTTTGTGCTGAAACTGGTATTAATGTGGAGGAGATGATCAGTTCACATGTGCCTCGTCTTTTGAACTGAGGCGCTACAGCGATCTGTCACTCCACATTAAACAAAGCCAAAACGGCATTTATTGTTTGAATACTGCAATACAATGGACAGAATTTGAAATCTGAGATTTTACCAAAGCACAATGCTTATTGCGATATATTGGATGGGAATTGCCCTTCAATGTTCTGTCCATTAACCGAAAACAGGCTAGACTAATCGATTCTTGGGATTTAAGAATCGATATCGTTCAGTAAAAATGATAATTGATTAATATCGAGATATTTTTTACCCAGACCTAGTAATTAGTAGCATATAGCTTACATTTGATTTACCTATTACAATAGTCCACTTACAGTTACTGCTATCATAAAAAATACACTTTATATGTAGGTTTAAAATTCTACAAAAGACACATTTAATGTCCAAAAACAATTTTTTTTGAAAAATGTATATTTTACTAAGAATTATTGCGCTCCTACTCGATTGCGCTCAGTCTGTTTAGCACGCATGCGTGCACTCCCTCAAGAGAGAGTCGAGCCTGGGTGGAACCAATTACTGCGACCGCATCACGAAAAGCGCACATTTAACCTCAAACATGCTCGTTCAAACGATAGATTCCAACGCTCTGAAAAGAATCATATGAGAACAGACACGAATTAATTGCTATGAGTGCTTTAAACCCCTTTGAGAGCTGAATGTGCTCTTGCAAACGCTAACTACCCAGTCAGCAAACAAATTTGGCCCAGATTTGGCATGCATCTGGCACAGCTGGCATTCATCCGGCAC